CCCCCTTTTTTTTTTTTTTTCTTCTTCTTTTTTTCCCCCTTCCTCCACTGTGCAGTGTGCACAACAATATCATCCCCGGTCATGTTGCTTACAAGGCCCAGACTCTCACTCCAGGGACGAAGATGCATCGCAGCGGAAATGCCCAGCTCGAGCTCGACAAGCCCGGTCGGCCGAATGACGATCATCGCTGTCATTGCATGCGACCATTCGACTGGATTATTCCTACACTACGATCCTAGTCAGAACCTTGTCCTTGATGCAACATAGCCAGCCAGTCCCCGTCTCAATCAACGGCCTTGATTTCCGCATTGGTCTCTGACGACCTCAACCAGTCGAATCAGATTGCCTTGGCACAATTAAAGAACCCTGCATAGGTTAATCAATCCCTATTCCCACTAATCATGGACTGGGTTTTGGCAGCTTTGCTTAATTTCGATATCGCGAAGCAATTTACCGTCCACCAAGCGCCTTTGCCAAAAAAGTCGACGACATGATTACCCCTCGCCAGGCTTGTCTCCTTTGTATTTATCACTTGATCTTTTATCGTCGTCACCCTCATCCTTTGTAGTCGTCACCACAGGTCTTAATTCGCTGAGAAAAGTAGTATAATCTCAAGCAATGGCAACTCGCCCTTTTTCGATAGTCATGGACCATGGTGCCATGGTACCCTTTGGCATGGGTCCTCTCCAGACTCCAACCATCCATTGCTCATCTCGGCTTTCTTTGACGCCGTGTTGCAGCCACCGTGCGCTACTACGCTTGATATCAAGCGCTCATATGAGATTCGGCTGTAAGCGACCTTGCACGGTTACCATTGACAATCGCTGTACGGATAGAGACGGACGTCCTTACGACCCCAGTTACCCCTATTGCCCATCAGCGGGAAGAGCTCTGAATTCTGGAGTCCAGCAAGCGCCACTGATGAACGGCCCAGGGTCATGTACAGATACGCGATGAACCCTTCCTGCGCACGTACAGATACATGTTCAAGTCGTCTGGAGAATCCTTGGCCGATTGACGCATGAACATTTTGCAGCAAAAGCTCCAGTCCAAGGAGCGTCCAATAAGGCCCACGAAGATAATTGTCAGTCCACCAAAGCACAAGAAACCTCGTTGCAGAATGTCGTTTGAAGCGCGCGATGCACCCATCCAGCTAGCCCCCCACCGCCGGTGCTACGTGGGCTTCTTTGAAGATTCAGCAAGTCTCTCCGGCAACCAATGTGAACAATCACGACGGCGTTAAATTGACTACCTTATTGTGACAAATGCTAGTGTGCTCCAGGCTTCCGCTAGAACAAATGAATGGGGAAACGAGAGATTCCGGCTTCTCGCCGGGCTGTCGCTCATCTCCCCCACAGGCATTCAGAGGGTTTCTCAAAGCAACAACATGGGCCGAGGGATCAACGACGAGGAACGAACTCACCGCTGAACCAAGCCAATGGCTTCCATAGCGTTGCACATCGCCTGATATCCACCGGTCGCTATTTACGACGATTTTTGGTTCTTGACCCGCTACGGATACTACGAATCCATTCACCGCCGCTATGGTCGCCAAGGCGAGGTAACAACAAGAACACGGATATCCAACCAAGCTTTGATCGTAGTTACAGCGCGTGCTCGCTCAATCACGACCCTTCTGAGGCTTCAGCCCGTTAGACATCACCTAGCTATGACTAATTAGTCCCGTACAGAGAGAGAACAGGCTACGTATACTTGCCTGCTGGGCCGTGGCATTTTTTTTCGTCTCATTTCGGCCATGACGTCCACAAATCCACACCACAATTTCGGAAGTTACGATCGATCTGCGCTAGAGCAAAAAGCTGTGGCCGCGCAGCCACCACCTTCCCACCTGAAACGTTGAAACATCGAAAGCCTTCTGGGTCTAGGCCTGCACGATTCTCGGCCATCGCGAGAGGCGCAAGGAAAGTCCCTCCAACTTCAAAGGGCCATCTACCAAGAGAATCATGTCACGAGCCCTGCTGGCTGCTAGGTACTATAGTACACGAAGACCCTCCCCCTCATCGGCTCGAGAGTGCCGCGGGCTACCTTGGGCTTGCGTAAGTGGTCGGCATCAACAATAATCTCATTCGATCAATGTTCCACCACTTCCCGCTGAAAGAGGTATTACAAAGTAGTCACCCAGTTGGTGGTTGGAGTCGCGTCACTAAGCAATTACCCACCGAACGTCGCACTTTGGAATTCGTGATTTTGAACATCAGCGGGGCCCTCATCCGCAACTTCGAAGAAATCTGTCATGGCGCCAACTCAAAGGCCGAGAGATTCCTGTCGTGCGTCCATTCCATACCAGCAGAACGACGCGACTTTGATCAAAACAACGCCAAACCACACACGAGACTCGTCCAATCACTTCGCAAATGTAGTGCGAAAACACGCTATCTGAAAATGCATTCCAGACCCGCCCGACTCTTGGTTTGGTTCTCCACACCACGGTCAAGTGCTGCTCGTCGCTCTGGCCCACGCTCACCTCGCAGCTTCTAGAGCCTCACGGGACGGGACCGCCGTTGTTTTGACCAGAGACATCGGTCGGAAACAGGAGGTGATTCATTGTCAGGTACAGGAATGGCGGCTGCGGCACTTGAATCTTTCGACTTTTGGGCTCGTCGAATCTATTAATCATGCGCTGGCGACAGCTATCGAGACATGGCACCGTTGCCCGCGCATGGCGCATTTGCCTTGTTGTTTTTTCATGATGCAAGTCTTTGCGCCGTTTTCTGCCCCGTCACAAGATGGCAACCAGAGCCTGACGGGCTTGACTGCCAGCCAGGCACGATGTAACTCATGAGGTGTTGTCAACAACGGCGTGGACATAGCGTCGACGGTCAATGAGGCATCCCGAACAGGACTACCTTTCTTGTCTCACTCTTTGATGCCCAGCTGGCCATTGTTGACAAATTTGTTATGGAGGGGCAAGCATTCCAACGACTACCGGCGACACTTGGTCAGCGGCCGTCGCTTGATCCATGTTGATTGTGCGAAATGGCTGCCGCCATGGCGCAACCGTTGAGTCAGGCGCAAGTCCGTACCAAATCGACGGGATTTCTGACAACCACCCGCACCTGGTCGTTTGCAACCTCGTGATTTTCCCAGAGTGCTCAAGAGAGGGGTCAGGCTCTGTAATCGCGATCCAGGGGGTTGGCGGTTGTCTCTTTCCTCCCTTCCCTTTCCCACCCCTTCCAAGCTGATATATCCCTTGCCACAAAGCAAAGGGCGAGTACCTCTTTCCACTAGTGTGAGTGTCTTCGCGGTGTACTTGGCGGGAAAGCATTGCGGTGCCTTATAAACAAAATGATTAAAGAAGTTGGCCAAAAAAACTCCACGTCGCTCCCTCTCGAACTCGACTGGAGCTCTTCCAGTCTCCCGTCTTTGGGCTCTGCTGCGAATACAGCCGCAAGCTCTTTCCGGGCTTTGGCTTCGGCTTGATAGCATGGCTTCTCATCGCCCCTCGTCTTGTGAGTCGTGAATGTTGTATCCGAAGCGAAGGGGGTAAATGTCGACCCCGAACAGTTTCCAGTGTCTTGTTGGAACGCCATCGTGAGTCGATTATCCCTTGCATAGGCCCTTGTGACGACTTATCGCAACGACTCTAGTCTAGTAGTAGAGAAGGGGGGAGCAAGCAGGAGCATGTGCCGAGATTGAATGGTTTTGGCTGTAACAACGGATGTTGATCACCGTGACTGTGACCGACCATGTCAACCAAAGAAAGATGCCTAGGCCGGATCGTCCCATTCCTATCAACTTCCGAGACCGCCAGATTCACGCGGATATAATCTGCTCCATTCAAGTGTCGCTAGATGTCAAGGTTGGATAGACCTTTCGAGACGGTGACGTTGGTCTAAAATGGCACTGAATTTCCACTATTCTGTCTTCTCAAAGAAGACCTACGGCCACGAGGCTAGACATCTGCAACAACCGCTATAATACATAAGAGGGAAGAGCTGGTATCAGCATCCTCAGGAAAACACTACCAGAATGAAGAAGGAAAAGCCCGTCGCAAGAAAATCCTGGGACATGGCATGAGACTCGGCCCGTTTTCCAACGACGGACCAACTCAAAACTTTTTTCACATCGAGGTCCACCGTGCACTTCTACCAGTGCCCCTGAATAAAACGCCTTCCCCCTGGACGACGGGTCGCCCTGCTAACTGATGGGTCAGAGAGGCAGAAACATTGGTGTGATAAACGAGAGATGAGAAATCAAGACGCCGACAATGAGTGAAAAACGCCAATTTGTCCTCCTGCTGCCGCCGCATGAGGTACCCTCTTGCCTGCTCCCCACCAGAAACATTTCGTCGTTGTTACATAGGTGATAGGTTGCGCCGACAGCTGAGAACATGCCATCGTTTGTACCTGCGTGTGCTGCATTATGCTTTGACCTCCGTTGCTTCGTCACCGCGGGCTTCCAATTGTTTCTTGAGCCCAGTGACTTCGCTCGTCAGTAGTCCGATTTGCGCCTGCTTCGCGCTTTCTGCCTTCTCAAAAGCTGTGACCTTGTCTGATAGCTGCTTGACCTTGTCCTCAAGGCTTTGGATGTACGCCCAGACGCCCGGGTCCGTGGCGAACATGTTGCCGCCATTCTCGGCCCCACTTCCAGGCTGCGTCCCGCTGGAACCACGGGCATGAGCGGCTCCTGTCGGCGCCGCGCCGGTCTGTGATCCAGGAGCAGCAAACGCTACAAAACAGTATTAGCACATAATCGAACAACAGGCGCAAATTTCGGGAAACACAACTCACCTGGCGAAGTGTTCCTGTCAGAAGGCCTGCGGCCAAATTGCTGCTGTTGAAACTGCTGAGTCAGACTTGGCGAACGTTGTCTAGCAATGTTGTTTGTGTCGTGCCCAGGGCTCAATGGTTTCGGACTTTCTGTCATGCCACTTTGTGAATAGACAGAAGCGCCGCTTACGGGCACGGAAGACACGCTCGTATTCGGTGTATGAGCACCAGCGATGCTATTGGGCATGCTTGGAGACGTGGTTGAACTTGCTGTGCCGCGGTCAACATTGGGCGGGTAGAGCCCGCCAGTGCCGGGTCGTGGACCTGCTGGCGGATAGGTACGCGAATGAGCGTTATATCCATCGATGCTGCCCGGTCCACCTGCAATATGCTGCGCTTTGATGCTCGGTAAACTCAGGCGCCTCTCCTCTTCCGTCAAGTCTTCTTCGTTGGCATACACTATGCCGGCCATTGAATCATCGCCATCATGCATACTTGGGTCATCCAAGTCGTCAGTCTGGTCGAAGCTGCCCATACTGGACCGGCGGCCGGCACAGCCACCGGCGCCTTTGCTGTGCCGAGCCAGCGCGTCGCCTCGGGCAAACTTCCGATCACATTTGGGGCATATGTGGGGTTTCTCGCCTGTGTGCAATTTGCTATGACGCTTCAAATCGTGGAGGCGTCGGAAGCGCATGTTACACTCCTGACATATGTACGGCTTCTCCTGGCTATGCGTGAGCAGGTGGCTCTTGAGGTTGTGATGACGTGTGAACTCCGTGTCGCAAAACGGGCACTTGTGCTTCTTGCCGGATTGAGTCGGAGAGTCGTGTCCAGGCGACGGCATGGGGAAACTCATGCCGCGCGCCGGTGGTGCGGGCATCATGGCGGCGGCTTGGAGCGAACCCGGATATGAAAGTGATCCGGGCGTATTCTTTTCATCGTGAACCGGGGCCGGGTGCGGCGGTTGGGGCTGATGCTGTGGCTGTTGAGATTGTTCGCTCATCTTGGGATCGACTTCCATCGGGCCTGGACTGGCCGTCACCAAAGCGCCTGCAATGCTAGCTGCGCTCGCTGCGCTTTGCGGACTTATCTCTACGGCTTCTGCGGGCGCATTGCTAACCTGTGGAATTGATACAGGTTCGGGCGCCTTGCTGGTGACCTCCATGGCAGCCGTAGGAGCTTGCGGTGCTTCGTCGGGTCGGCTCATGGCGGCGACACTACCGGCAAGCACGGAGAGCACGGAATGAACTGGGTTGTCACTTGAGGCGGGCGGGTTGAGGCGCTGTTCGCGTTTGCGTTCCTCTTCGAGAGCTTCGAGGGCGGCGGCGGCTGTCAATGGTGTCGGTGAGCTTCGGGATGATGCCAAGGCAAAGCGAGCGGACTTCGTGGGAGAGGGATAGTCGATGGAAGGGGCGACAGGGGGAACGGCGCCTTCGGCGGGAGGGTCGACACCAGACGTGGGCGAAGTAGGAGTAGACTCGCGCGCCCTCTTGAGCGACTTGGTGCGAGCAGAATCTCCCCCAAGCGCGAAAGTGTCTGATGCGACCGGCGTCGTCGCTGCCAGAAGAGGGGCTTCGGTCGCAATGGGACCGTTATCCGAGGCCATGAGCGGGCGAAAGCATCAAGCGATTAATTGGGGTTTTGAATTGGAAAGGGAAGCTCCGATGCGACCGCGTCGTCGTTGTTGATGGTCAATGACAATTCATGGGAGCTCTGAGTTGTTCAGCCACACGTGGCGGTTCTTGTTCGTGAACGACCCCGAATTTGACGGGACGAGCGGACGAGTCGCGGTGGAATGTGGCGGAACCGAGTTGGGCGGGATTGAAGTATGGCTGACGCAAGCCGGTCTCGATGGCGAGTAATTCGTTTGAGATTGTAGACGCGCGCAAATCCAGTGGCGGAGGGGATTTTAGCTGGCGGTAGCGATGTTGAAGAAGAGGGAAAAGAGAACTGAATTCCAAGTGTGGCAGAAGCTGGAGGAAAAGGGAAGGGTGGAGGGCGGGTGCAGCAAGATAGAGTAAGGCAAATGGTCAGAAAGTCGAGTGAGAGAGGTGTGACGGCGTCTGCGAATGAGGGCGAGTTGGGGCTTGCGGTTTCTGCCACAACAGGTGGCGGGCGGCGGGTGCGGGAGGTACGGACACACACTGGGGCGGCCGCACGTTACCTTACCACCTGAGGAACTGGACGACAGAGGTATCCGTATCTACCTGCCTGCCGAGCTTAGGTAAGCCGCCGCGAGACGAGGTACCTACCTACTTACATATGGAAAGGCAGTCCGTTCTCGGGCTGCGGCAGCGCGGCGACGTTGAGAGACAACTGACAGGACCCAACGACGGGAGGAGGAAACCGGAACTCTTAACATGATCCGTCCTGACTGCTCCTGTCGCCAGTGCTGTTGTTTAAATCTGTCAGCTACCAAAGGTAAGGCAATGGAAGGCAGGTATTCCCAGAACCCAACAATCAGGTTCCCTTTCCCTGCCTTGCCTCCATACCCGGCGCGATAGGTACCCCATCGCACCTCCTTATGGTACCCGACAGAGCTGACTGAAGTACGGGATACTTGTAGCTGAATATCGAGGAATGAGTGTACTCGATACATTGCCCACCCACCTCAACTTCTCCCAGGCGGCTTCTCCCCAGCCCTTGTACACAGACATACACTCTTCTTAAGCCACACCCATGCGCGCGCGCACATACACACACTGTTTCTCTCTCTGTTTCCCCTCCATCAGTCCGCTGTGGCATTCTCTGGTTACGCCACGCTCTGTTGATGCATATTTGGATTATCTTGCGGCTGTCCCGACGCCACACCATCAGAATCAATATTGGGTCAACAGAAAACAGGCCTCGCGCCGGCTCTGAGCTCGACATGCCGTAACAACTGCGGCATTCCGAAAACGAAGGGCCGTACTTAATGGTCATGAGAGCAATACGACAGGAACCAGGCTGAATGGCGAGGAGGAGGGAAATGGAAGGGAAGGATACCTGAGAGAATGGAGCCCGAAAGCAAGGGCCGGTCAGCCCCCGCGGTGGCTGTGCAAGAAAATCAAGAGCCCCATGCCCCAGCCTCCCCTTCTTCCCTTTGCTGGGAGTCTGGGACACACGCGAGTGGCTAAAAAGTCCATCTCCGTATCCACTAGTACCCACTCGATGGCTTCCCATAGGTTCTCGGGCAGGGAACATCAGGTCCCAGTTCCATTTTTTACCTCGTAACCCGACGTGGCTTTGCATCCGCACTACCGATGGCAAAGTCATCGATACTTGCTTCCCTCGTCCCACCATCTTCGCTCGCCCTGCTTACGGCTGCCAGCTGCAGGCTCCAGGTGCCCTTGGTTCATCGCCCCTCTCTTCTCTCCCACGCAGCAGCATGTGTGGTTCAGCGGACGACAGGAGACGAGGAGCGCCCGTGGCTGATGGCCTGCCGAGGAACCTACCTGGCCAAGAGCTCTCCAGTTACAAACGCCTCACAACCTACCCGCTACGGGGCTACCTGCGTAAACTCCGCAGGCCTGGACGGGAGTACCTACCTTGATTGTACCTAAACACGCCCTCAGCGTTGTGCAGGCGATGAGCTGACCTTTTTCCGGATCGACTCGCCCAAGCATGAAGCTAATGAGAACGAGATCGATCGCTTCGGCTGATTTGTTCTTAGCAGCACTCGCTTTCCAATTGTTGAGCCGCAATACAATCAATCGCCTCTCAACACGACGATGAATGAAAAGAAGAGAGTCAGCGGAGAAAGCATAGCTCCAGACGGGCCGCACGACGACTGGTATCCGTACTATAATCAACACATCGTTGCCAGGCACCCGCCATGATGCTTGTCTTCTGTCAACCCACCGGAGCCTCGTCTGGCTGTGCCCTGCCCGCTCTGCCTTGCCTTAACCAGTTCCGAAGTCGCTTGGGCTGAGGCTGAAGTTTCTTTGATGAGCGGCTAGCATCCACCGCACAAGTTTCGCTTACAACTTCTGAGGGACACGGCGGAGAAGGCAGCGCTCTTCTTTGTTCGGCCACCGGGATTCAGACCGCGAATTGGTCTGACTAATTAATGTCCTCACCGAATCGCGCCCAAGAAACCCACGGCCATGGTTACCAACTTTCTGCCCAGGCAAAACATCGAAGTAGGCACAAGGACGAGTCAGTCACTAGGCCAATGAAGGGATAGGAACGGCTCCGTCGCAAACCACAAACGACTTCGTCTTGGGTATTCCACACTTCTACTTTGGTCAGCTATTAATCCGTGACGAATCACCTCGGAGCCAGGTCCGTCCCTATTCGGCCATAATTTTTCTAGCTCCCCATACTAGTGCCCTTTTTGTAACCCCGGGAGCTGGCGAGACACCTAAATTGGAAATCATTGGGGTGGCACTTCATGCAGACGATGCTACCTAAATGTGGCTGAACCATCCAAACAGAACACAAAATCGACAAAGCAGAAACGACTTACGGCGCGGAGTATTTCCTACGGCAACCAAAGTTACATCCAACGTTCCGCACCCTCGATCCCGCGATCACTTGTCGGGTGTCGAACGATGAGATCATTGGCCTCTTTCCCTCACCTTCGCCGCCAAACCGTACATTGCCACGCCCTTCTCGCCCTTTTGTTGGATCGTTTTTGTTATGACGACGATACCTGCTCGGGTCCGGGATATAGTAGGGAAGCAGCCAATCTCATCCCCAATACGCTGCGAGAACTCTGAAGAGAAAAGCCGCCGTCCTTTTGAGCAGGTTTCTTCCGACTCCGATTCGCCATTTTCCGCTGCTTTTCATCCTTCTTCAGCCTCTGGTGTGATGAGCAGAAGAGAACTGCTGACTGATAGCCCCAAGACACTGCGTCAGCTGAGCCACGGCCTAGCCAGAGCTCATTCCCTCCCCTGTCTGTTAACACTCATTGGCCGCTGTCACTTTGGGCCGCTGATCCCTCGCTGCGTAGGACGGGACAGCTGCACTCACCTGAACCCTCCACGTCTAGCCCTGGGCTCTCCCGTGCTCATCGTCATCAATCGTCTGGCTCGATGGCGCGGGCCCTGTTGCGGGGACAACAGTAGCCGTGATGGTGCGTGCGTCGATGCGCCAACCGCAGTGCGACTATCGGTGATGATCCCGCCTAGTAGATAATTCTCGTCGCGAATGAACGTGCCTTGAATTGCCTCGTGAGTGACACTTTCGGGTTGATCGTGGTTACGACCACCCGCACTCTTCACCTGCTCGAGCCTCGCTGCTTGCGTAGAGAGACCACCTACGTGACTTGCAACGGAATGCTACCACGCGACCTCATCAACAGCAAAATGATAGCAAGGTGACTAGATACCTTAGTAGCCCAATGACGGCAACAGATTACTTTGATGAGCCAATGCAGTCGGTTCAATTCAGGTTAGACCAGTCCCATTTCTGCACCTGATTTGGTGAGGCTGGCTAAGGCCTTGGGGCTTTGGATTCGTGCGAAACATATCGCTTCACACAAAGTCGTGGACTGGATTTCCGATATTGAGACCACTTAGTGTCCTCTATTCCCAGTCTCTTAGCTTGCGGTATTGCGAGACACTCCCGTCTGCGAAAGGTTGTCCGTACCAACTGGTCGTGCATTATGAAGCACAGAGTCTCTCTGTACGTAGGTCTGAGGGAGCCAGGCTAATGAGCACTCCTGCTGAACAATTTTGCCTCCCAGCAAAGACAATGAAAACAGTTCTACGGCGGCGGAAAGATTAAGCAAGAAGCCCGTCCAGGATTGTGTGTCATCAAATTGCTATTGCAGCTTAATCCATCCCCGCTCACTTTGATCTTTGATGGATGAGCCTTAAGCATCAAGTAGCTACTCGTCATACACGGATACATGGTTGTGCTCCAAGAAGAAGAAGAAGAAGAAGAAGAAGAAGAAGAAGAAGAAGAAGAAGAAGAAGAGGAAAATGACCATCTCACAGGGCTTCCTTCCCGGGCTTCTTAGACGAAAGAAGAGCCCGCGTTTTGTACCATTGTTGAGAGTACTCCTCCCAACACCTTGAATGCACGTATCACGAAAGCATTTCAAGAGTCGTAAATATGAAAGAACTACTACGAATCCTCAAATCTGTTACCACCTGCTGGCTAGGAGAGTGGAAGGCGCTCAATCTGCCTTGTAATGCCTCTTGTGAAATGTAATCCAAAATCAGTCACTCATGATGATTATATCATACAACGAGTACCCATGGGTTAGCTTGATCGAACAGGGAGCGGTCGAGGTCGCTGCCGATACAGCATGCGACACAGTTCGGATCATAGTATCATGGACTTCACCGAGGTGCCTCGAACGGGATTATTGCAAGCAATTCATCAGGCGAGAAGGGACCAGGCTTGGCCTGCATTCGTTGCCATGCGATGTAGGCCACAACACCGATGCAAGAGTCCGCCTGGGCCCCAGTCAGCACGATCAATGGGAAAAGAGGATGAGATGAGGTGGTTATTACGCCTCTAATTCCGTCTACGTATCGGTATTGTCTGTCTCGCTCCGTTTTCTAACCCCGGATTCTTCGAGCCCCAATCTTCTTCGGTTCGATTTGTCCACAACAGCCATTGCCGCTTTATTTTGTCGTCAAGAGATTATACTGGAATCGCAAGCATTCACCTGACTTACTTGTCACGTGGTAGACAACACTAAGGCAATTCAGGTACCATCTCGAACTTCTTCTACGAGCCCGGGATTGCGTAGCGTTCTGTGGTACGACGGAGCATTGACAAGAGCCTATTACGACAAGATCAGTCGAGTATTTGTCCTCTTCGTGGTGAAATAAATGGTAGATGATCTCGATTGTAACCCTAAGTATCAATTAAATTTGCCACCCGATGCGAGTGTCCTGTTCCTTTTCCCGTATGTCTCATTGAGCCGTGCTATCCTTTCCCTTTTACTACCATGGCGCTCTTTCATGAAGTTCCCATCTCGTTTCCCGTTTTTGGTGTTCAATCGTCAAGTCGTAAGGTCGTCTCATCGTACAAGTACACGTCGTTCAACATTCAACATTCATCAGACATCGCCCTTCCTAAAGAGTATTCACCACCCTCTTGAGGCGGTACTCCTCTACCATTAGTCATAGTCTCCACGCAATTCATCTCTTTTGTTCGAGATACAGGTGCAAACGCTCAGTGGGCGTGTGCAACTATGGCCACGTAGGTGTCATCTGGGATTCTTTCTATTATCCACAGCGTCCGCTCAATGACCCTGTCTGCTTGCAGCGAAGGGAAAGAACGCAAGAGCTTATTGGGGCTGGTTGATTGTTGGCATACATAGTTGAATTTCAGTGGACTGGATTACATACCTTGGTGAGCTCATCAGCTGATCCCGCATGCCCATCAACTGAGCTACGATACAGAGGATGTTCAGATGGGGCCCGTAGGCAAAGAGGAAGTCCCAAAGTCTGAGGACCTCGGGAAGCGGAGGCGTGCAGGCGCATAACGTCAGGACCGAGGGGAAGGCGTAGATCTCAGCCGCAAGACCTTTGGAGTGCAGATAGCTGCTCAGCTTCGAGTCGACTGTCGCAAGGACCTTGTCAACCAGAGCCAGGCCCTTGTGTACGCCGTCCATAGCACCGCGGATGTAGCCAGGGCATTCGCGTGTAAGCAATGTGTAGAAAGCGACGAAGGCCTCGGATTCGCTCCTTGCTGCGTACAGAAATGGCGCCGCCAGCACGTTCATGCCTTGTACGTAGGTTCCTGGTTCCGCAGCATGACTGGATTCAGAGCCCTCTGTCGTCAAGGTCAGAGCCCTGGCGCGGTTTCTGGCACCCGGTGAAAACGCCGGATCTTGCGAGTAGGCTGTGGCTGTTGACGTCGATGTCGAGCTGTCTTGTGATGTAGAGCTTCTGCCGGTACTGGGTCGCTCCCTTCGCTGTTCCTCCCGCGCATCATGTAGACGCCAAGCTACGGCATTGAGAAGACGGATCAGGCTGGCCTCGCTCACACGTCTCCTGAACAAAGGATCAGTGGTGAGGGTACGAAAGGTGTCGTTGCGAATTTTGGAGTAGGCCGGGGATGCTCCACGGTGAATCAGGCCCAGGTAGTCATCGGTCGGGAGGACAGGAGTATCCAACAGGATTAGCCAGACATATATGCGCAAGGTTGACTGTGAGGTAACTAGTTAACATTTGTCTCCAGGCTGAGTGATTGTGAAGGGTGTGGTTTAGCTACCATGCCGTCGCTATCGCTCTTGATACCCTCGCTCAAAATCTTGCGACGAGCCATGCCCAAAGCCTCAACAGTCTCTCCCTCGGGAGGGCCCTCTTTTATAAGTTGCTGTAGAGACATCGTTGCGTACTTGGGGCTGATGCCCATCATGCTGCGCTTGCTGGTAGCCAGGGCATTCATGTGATGAACGACTGGCGCTGGCGCATCGCTGTTGGATCGTCCTCGCGTGTGTCGTGTCATTGTGGAAGAGGAACTCGGGTCGCGCCGCGTAGGAGATATGTTTCTCTGTGTGATCTGTGTCAAGCGCTGCTGCGCGATCAAAGAGGGTTGATGAAGGGGCTGAAGCTGAAGGGCAGCTTTGGAGCCAAGGTTATGCGCGGATTGCAATTTGCGAAGGCGATGGGTACGCGGCGAGGGTGGTGGAAGCAATTCGGTGGTTTTGGCTTGCGACTGCACGAAATTGTGCGCCGGGTGAGCGACAGGATCTCTTGGTGGACTCGGCGGCATCTTTGCGAATGGAGGACGGGACCGGCTACGTTCACTATTTTGAGGGACACCAAGGTAATACAACGGATTATACGAAGAGTATTTTGAAGAATGGCAGGGCGCGGTATCGGGAATCGCCAGAAGAGAGAAAAAAAAATAGGGGCAAAGTACAGGCGTAGCGACGTGACCAACACCTCGTGGGATGCTATTTTTGGCCCGTGGCGGGGAGGAGGAGGTTGGTGATTGCAGTCTCGATGGTGTAGATGACAAGCATTGCATATGTTGGCGGCTTAGAGTTGTTTTCTGACTAAGGCAACCCGACTTGTTGCCCAGGGAGAGAGGGGCTGTTGAGCACTCGCGTCGGTCAAGTGCCCCGTGTTTTTTCGCGTCCCAAACTCCCCATTGACCAACAGCTCAACGATAGGTACGCTTCCAGCCCTGAATGGTCAATTCCAATATGCCCGCCACGGCTACCATTGCTGCTGATGTTATGGCGCATCAGGCCAGCTTTGCCAGCTGAAAGTCTGAGACCTTCAGTTGGCACACAATCCCCTTTCAAGCTTTGAACACCCGTATCATCCACTAATGACTCCAGCCTTCAACGATAGAGTCGTTCAGGAGGCGAGAATGCTACGGTAATTGACCTTGGACCTCGAAGTTGGTACCTGGAAAATTGGGGCCAGCCACGGGATTACCTTAATACTAATAGTAAGGTTAGGTGACTTGATCTGGAACTTCCTCTTTGAGCCAACCTCACATTGGATCGTGCAGGTCTTCGGACCTGGCGGCGCAGCTCTACCGAGCCGGGTACGGAAAATCTTTAGACCTCGGTCTTTCATGAACTGGTCCGAGCTCAATATGTCTTATGTCAGCATTGTCGCAAGCTTGGCGTCTGCGTCTTGAGCTGCTGGTCCGAGCTGAGCCATGACGATGGCCATCCGTAATCAGATCCGCTTTACGGATCCTGTTAGCAATGGGCAACTCCAGTCTCCAGTACGGGACGCCAGGTATCCGTAGTTGGGGATTCTTCCCGCAGATTGCAGCAGATTGTCCCAGATCCCCATTCCGTCGTCTTTCGCCTGGGGCTGAGGATCCACTGTCTCTCCAGACTTTCGAGCATCTCGCAGTTTGCCGTCATTATCGACGGGTCTGATTCGCCACGTCCAATGACCACGAGGAAGGGTGCAATATCACACGTCCCGATGATTATGGCCATCTGAGATTCTGGTCCGAATCAGTCAAGGGCCAACCCAGCTCTTCATCACTTTCGAAAGCTTCGCACCACACTTCGCGAGACAAGCAACCAGTCAAGGCGAAGGTGTCTCAGAAGGGTCCAACCATGTTGAGCATTTCCGCAGCCATCCACCCCACTTTACCATCACCTCAAACAAGGATACTATTGCACCATCGCCCAGTTGCAGAAGCTGAACCCCATTGGTCAGACTAGTAGGTGCCGTCCCAAAAGCGGTAGTTCTTTGGATACTCGTCTCCTCCCCGTGGAAACATGTGTTGCACAAACTGGGAACACTTTGGTATTGTGCATCATGCCACACTCAGCTCTGGTTTTTCATCCCCTCCATTTCATTACGTCTGTTAGCAAGGCAGCGCCTAGCCCGGCTCCATGACTGACGACAGATGAGCATTAGCATTCTCCAATCGTGGCAGTCTGGCCTAGGGAAACCCGAGCTTTCTCCCTGTGCTCCTGTATCTGAGACGGGCCGCGTCGTGAGCCAAGCCGAGAGCGAGAGAAACCACGCGACTGCTCCTCCGAGACCGCATCTTTCGCATGACCCGTTACTCCACTTGATCATGGCTGGAAAATGTTCGCTGAGGTGTGAATACAGAGAGAGAGTACTTTATCCAATGGCGCTTATTGAAAATCGTTCGGACGAGCCCGTCTGATATTACCAATTCGATATCAAGTTTGCAAGAGAGCGCAGCAGATCCCTTGTCTTGTGGGTATATGATAATTGGGCTCGCAGCATGTGCCGACTCCATCGGCCGCCTCAACTAAGCTTTGAATGGCAAAGACTTGATGGCGACATCGCCCCGGTTTCGACACTGCGGGAGGAGTGCGGATACTACCTACCACCACAAAGAGCTTCTGCTGACACCAACATTGTTGTTACTAAATCCGCGCCATTGAGGGATTCAGACTCCCCCTGTCAGAGTTTTCCCTCTCGCTCTCGCCGTCGACCTTTCCTCGGCTCTTTCGCACCGCTCATTTCTTGGCTGCCGCCGTCCTCCCGGTGCCACATCTCTTGGCCCACGAGATCCATCGTCTCGTCAAGCAGGAATACCTTAAGAGCCTCCCTTGGCACTCCACTAGCGAAGTTTCTGCAGTCAATTAAAAGCTTGTCTGCCTACCTTCCTCAGCTCATGTTGAAGAGCTTCTGAGAGCCTCAGAAGAGCTTCGAAGAGCTTCCGGCAGATTTGAAGAGCTTCTGTTTCAGTTTGCATAACCCCATCAGTCACCCAAGACCGTCCAGGCCACACGATACAAATATCTTATCGGCACTATTGCGTGAAGGTTTCCTAATCCCTTCCTGCTAGCCGCAAGCGCTTCTGTCGCCATTTTCACACGCCGCCGAATTACGGCCATTTTTCTGAGTTGGGAACTCTCTCGCCCATCACCGAGTCGACCCCTCGAGGGCCTCGACCAATTAATGTCCCTTTGACCGATTGCGCAACTTTGCAAGGGCCATTCAGTAGCGACAATTTCGCACCTCCTGCCTTAAATCGCCACCACCGTCGAGTTTCGAGGACTGGAGGCGTTCTAGTCACGCCTTGCACCATTAGCTTCTGCCCACTACACACCCTGGTTCCCATTCCTGTCGCCCACCCTCGACCGCCAAGTTCCACGGCGACCCCCGTTGACCCAGGCCTGTGGCACGGTGACCATCCCCGGGGAATCCTATATAGCCTTGGGACATCTTCTCCAAACCAGGGGTCAGGTTTTGAGTGTCACTCGTCTCTGTAGCCACAAGCTCGACAAGTAACCTTCAGAGTCTTTCCTGGACGGTTTCCGGTCCGATCAACCATCATGTCGAGCACAAGTACCAAGATTGGCCACGGCCTGGCCAAGGTCTTGGGCATCAAACTCGAGAAACCTGAGAACGAAGAGATGTTGCGCGGCGAATCCGTCTTCTCCGTTCAGTCCTCAGACACCTTCGTTGAGGAGGAGCCAACAACAGCTGAGTGGCTTCTTGACATCCTTCCCGACGGCCATGAAGTCCTCGCATACGTTCGGTCTCTTTTCCCCTTCCTCAACTGGATTGGTCACTACAACATGCAGTGGTTACTCGGTGACTTGGTCGCCGGTGTCACTGTTGGAGCTGTTGTGGTGCCTCAGGGTATGGCCTACGCTTTGCTTGCAAAGCTTGATCCTCAGTTCGGTCTCTATTCGTCCTTCATGGGTGTCATTATCTACTGGTTCTTCGCTACATCCAAGGACATTACCATCGGCGTATGTGATCATCCGTCAGAAATATTTCGGTACACTGCTAACAGACCTGTAGCCCGTGGCCGTGATGTCTACCGTTGTTGGTAACCTCATCACCGATGTCCAAGCAGATTTCCCCCAGTACGCAGGTCACCAGATTGCCTCTGCTCTAGCTATTATTGCTGGCGCTATCATTCTCTTCATCGGGTTGATCCGCATGGGATGGATTGTCGACTTGATTTCCTTGACTTCTCTGTCGGCCTTTATGACTGGTTCTGCCATCAGCATCGCTGTTGGACAGTTGGTCACCTTACTGGGCATCAAGGGCGTCAACACACGAGATGCTACCTACCTTGTCTTTATCAACACACTCAAGGCCCTGCCAAAGACAAAGATAGATGCTGCCATGGGCCTGACCGCCCTTACCATGCTCTATCTCCTGCGGTTCATCTTTACGACCTTGGCCAAGAAATACCCCCGGAAGTCGAAGCTCTTTTTCTTCCTCTCCACTCTCCGGACGGTTTTCGTCATCCTTCTCTACACCATGATTAGTTGGTTGGTCAACATGCATAGACGATCGAACCCACTGTTCAAAATTTTGGGAGACGTCCCGCGAGGTCAGTTAATGCGTCTTGCTCCCAGCCGTTATCGCAAGGCTAACCAAATTCGCAGGTTTCCAGAATGCTGGCGCCCCGAAAATCGACACCCACCTCATCAGCGCTTTCTTACCTTTCCTGCCTGCCAGCGTCATTGTTCTGGTCATCGAACACGTCGCCATTTCGAAATCTTTCGGACGTGTGAACAACTACACTATCAATCCCTCTCAGGAGTTTGTGGCCATCGGTGTGACCAACGTCATTGCCCCCTTCCTTGGAGGCTACCCATCCACGGGCTCGTTCAGCCGTACCGCTATCAAGTCCAAGGCCGGCGTCAGAACTCCCTTTGCGGGTGTCATCACTGGTCTCATCGTATTGCTTGCCATCTACGCTCTTACGGCCGTGTTCTTCTACATCTCGAGCGCATCGCTGGCTGCAGTTATCATCCACGCCGTTGGCGATCTGATTACGCCGCCGAACACGGTCTACCAATTCTGGCGCGTCTCCCCGCTTGAAGTTGTCATCTTCTTCATTGGTGTCTTTGTCACTATTTTCTCTTCCATCGAGAACGGAATCTACGCCACAATCTGTATCTCTGCCGTGTTGCTTCTCTGGCGCATTCTCCGGAGCCAGGGACGCTTCCTTGGAAAGGTCAAGATTCACTCTGTCGTCGGCGACCATGTCATTGGCGAAGACCACCGACAAGTCATTGGCGAGTACGGTACCTTTAATGCTAGCGACAACGCTGCCCGTAACGTTTTCCTGCCCATCGATCACGGCGATGGATCCAATCCCGAGGTCTCACTGGACGAGCCGTATCCTGGCATTTTCATCTACCGTTTCTCCGAGGGTTTCAACTACCCGAATGCCAGCCACTCCCTTGAGTATCTCACTGACTACATCTTCGCCCGGACACGCCGAACGAACCTGCAGTCTTACGGAAGGTTGGGCGACCGCCCCTGGAATGACCCCGGCCCGTCGCGCAAGGCCAAGAAGGCGCAAGCTCAGATGCACGAGGAGGAGAACAGGCCGACTCTCAAGGCCATCATCCTTGACTTCAGCTCCGTAAACAATGTCGACTTGACATCAATCCAACAGCTCATCGACGTTCGCAACCAGCTCGACCGGTATTCGTCCCCCGAAAAAGTGAACTGGCACATTGCCTGCATCAACAACAGGTGGACCAAGAGAGCGCTCGTTGCCGCCGGCTTCGGCTACCCTGTCGATCGCAGCGACGGCACGCAGCACCAGTGGAAGTCCATCTTCAGCGTCGCCGAGATTGGAGGTTCCGAGTCGGCGGCCGCGGTTGCGGAGAAGGAGGCTAATGAGAAGGAAATTTTGACTCACACGAGGAGTGCGAGATTCGGAGACGAGGAGGCGGGCAAGGACGGTGGCGCATACGATCAAATCAACCCCGTGTCGTCGGGCTCAAGGAAAGCAACCGGCCCCAAGAGGAAGGGTGTCGTCGTCCACGGCCTCAACAGGCCGCTGTTCCACGTCGATCTGACGAGCGCGTTGCAGAGCGCTATTGCCAACAGCGAGGGCAGAGGCCTTGTTCAAGAGGAGGCGGAGGCAGTTGGGCCAAAGAGTCCCAGCACCTCTAGTGATTAAATGGATTCTAGGAAACAGGATTAGCGATTTGATACCCTTGGTGGGAAAATTTGTTCTAGGATGGCATGATTGAAAAGTGGTGCATATATGATGAGGCACACTTGTGATGTTGTTGATCACGATTTACCCTGTGGAGAGCAAGTTCCGCATCTGGCAATTTTTAATGTAATAAGGTTACAAAACAATTTGGCCACTAGGAAACTTTCTAGTAGTGTTACCCCGTAATTCCGTTGAATAAAGTCTGCAGCAACCCACCGCATGTTTTCGTTACCTGCCTATTCGCGGCCACGCTCAATGACTGCTACTCTCACAGGCTTGGTGATGCTTAGGACGCCGCCCATGCCACTCCAGCCAAAATCCTCACAAGGGAGGGGGAAAAAAAGCCAACTTTGCTATAACGGAATGGTAGAGCTCCACAAGCCCCAGACATTCTCCTTTTGCCTGGCTCATCCGGCTTTCCATGCCATGATGTACGTAGCGTGGCCTCAAAACAGCACCATGGATGCAGGTGCCCTGCTTGGATAAAACCCACTTACAGACGTCAAAAAATTGTCAAAAACATACAACACCAGGTATTCGCTGGTCGTCACCGACCCAACTACTAATCCGGCCCTCATTAGCTTATCTATGGGAGAGCGGACGGGATCCCGAGTTTTCCAATGGGTATGGTCGTATGTGATGGCTTGAGACCGTCAAGGTGTAGATGGAGGCGGTACGGCAGCCGTGCGACGCAGACGACGCACATCGCGCAGCCGGACCTAATCTCATGAAAGATATCTGGGTCATGATATCACTTGAAAAAATAGGCGGGGATTGTTTCCTGATGTGACTCGACTCGGTTGTCTTCACTTGAGGGCGGCGGACGTGGAGGGTGAGTGACTGTCTTTGCTTGAGGATAGCGGGTGGTTTCCAATGTCAGCAGTGTCCAGACATTGTGTAGCTTGTGGCCAGCTGAATATCATCTTGAAGCTAGAAACTTGTTGTATCAAAAATTACATTTTTTTTTCATCTCTTAATTAGGAGTATCACTGTGAAGGTGAGAGTATGAATCAAGTAGTAGCCGCATAGGCCGGTTTTAACCCCGTTCTTACCATGTCACTTCGGCACCGATCAAGACATGCCCGTGTGGGGCGTCTATGAAGAGGAGATTTGCATGATTAATGCAGTCCACAGCTGATATTGATATTTAGAGGACGTGGAACAAGATATATATAAAAATAACATAATGGTATTGTGCGCGATTTCGTGGCGCCTTTCTACCCACAGGTCGACCGTGAAAACATCAAAGCAATTGATATGCGCCGAGGCTAAACCAATGATTTATTCAGAACTTCCCAAAACCCCAAGGTACATAGGCACAAATGCACTGTTGAAAAAACCAGAATATAATATATATACACAACCATTAGTCGAACCACACTATCGTCACAATTCCCTCACCACCCCTGCTCCGGCTCCCATTCTCACATGGGCCTACCATCGTACACCACCCCGTACGGCACAGTCTCAATGTCTCCATGACAAGCCCTATCATAGTCCGCCAGCTCAGGCATATGCTGCTGCACGTTCAAAAACGTCTCCAGCTCGCACCAGCCGTCTAATCTCGTGACGTCGCACTCCGGGAAACTCCAACCCAAGGGGACGGTCCTCTGATTCAAGACGAAATGGATGTACTTGGTCTCCCCGCCATCCTTTTCGTACCCCGATCGATCGGTCTTAAACGGCTTGGGGGTCTTGATGATTTCGATGTCGAGCCGGGCGCCAAAGGGTGTGATGTGCGAGACGGTGAAGTTGTGCTGGCCCGGGTACTCCGTCGGCTGGAGGAGCTGAGCGAATTGCTTCAGACCAAAGGCCGTTAGGATCGAGGCGATGTTGGTGTCGTGGGAGAAGTCAAAGTAGAGGCTCTGATTGAGCGGAAATGTGACCGTGTTGTTATCTAATGTGACGTTGATCTGTGACCCCGAGTAGCCCAGAGTGTGGTTCTGGAGGCGGGCAATGACCTCTTGTTGATAGCCGATGCCTATAGCGCGCTGCAGCTTTGTCAATATTGGGTTGTCCGGTGGAGTGTGGAATTTATACATACGCCTGTGGGGTTCTGGAACGCGTTGTTGCCGGCAAACATAAGATCGACGGAGTAGGAGAAGCCAACCCACTCTTCGTATGTAAACAAGTCGCAAAAGACGCTGAAGCCGTAGGCCACCTGTGTTGAAGGTCAGTCAATAGCGACTCTTTTCCGTGTCCCGCATAGAAGCTCTCTCTCACTCACAGTCTCGTAAGGACACATGGTCTGAGCCGCGTAGGTGTCATCAATGGTCCAGTCATATCCTTCCGCCAGATCTCGCAAACGAGCAGTAGCTGAAGGAGGGCGTCAGCAGAGTGTATGACTACGAAGCATTGCAGCTGGTAGGCTTACCATTGGCCAGGTAGTTTGAGATCCAAACCTTGGCGGCATCATCGCCTCCATTCTGCTTGCGGGCGTTGGGGCAGTTCAAATAACCCGCGAGCGAATTGTTCGCCCTGTCTTGCTCGATGATAACCTCGATAGTGGCATTCTTAGTCCTGATGCAAAAGTCAGCTGTGGACTTCGAACCGCATCAAGTAAACGACTATACCATTCGAGACCAAAGAAACCCGCTAGCCAGTATTCGGCTGACTTGAGCATCCTGTCTTGCGTCTACAAGCGTGTCAGTCGCCGGCATTCCGAAACCTGGTAGCCAATACTCTCGACGTACAGTTGTCCGCACAATGATCTTGCTATTCGGATTATACAGCGACGAATACATATACGAGTGCAAAATCCCTAAGTGGCAATTAGTCTTGATGCCGCAAGTCTTTGCGCGACCTGTCTAGTCTCAAGTCACTCACCAGAGTCGAAGAGCTCTTGACGCCCTGTGAACAAAAAGTCAGCCACTTTGAACGGAAACCATGTCTCGATCAAACCCACCTTTCGGAACCAGGATCTCATGTCCCAACTGGTATTTCCAGTTTTTCAAGAACTTCAGAGCCCCCTTGGCATTCAACTTCTTGCCAGCCTTTGCGATGCGCTGCCCAAAATCGGCGACATTGGATCCCATGGTGGGATACCTAGATCCGTGACGAGAGAGCATCTGTCATGAGTCAGCAAGACTGAGCATCCTCCATCGTGGCATGGAAAGACAGCCACTGAAGTCCACACCTGGCTAGTTCTGACGTGCTTACCTGAACTTGAACAATGTCGGCTCCTTCTGGCAGCGCGTACTCCTCTACGCCAAACCCAGGGCTCGGCTGATACGGCGTAAGATATCTAAACACCCGGACGTTTAGCACTCACTCTTTTCCAACTCGCCAGTGATGTGTCGTTCGACTTACCCCATCATGTTGAAAATACTCTCATTCTTGCTCCCCATCCCCTCGATAGGGATGTCCGTCTGCAGCGGCGCATTCGGCACAAAGGTACCCGTCGGCAGAATTCTTGTCTGCGCCATGAAGGCAGGTCTACCGGTTGCTGTCGGGCCAGCCCACAGCTCCGGACTCGTCCTGAAATACTGCGGCACGTCATCGTCCGGCCTACACGGGCAATCGTCCGGGTTCTTTAGGCCGTCCAGCGCGTTCGGGCCCCTTCTCACGCCGCCGTTATCCCAGGCGAACCCAAGGACCACAAAGGCAAGCATGCATCCCACAACAGCCAGCGCGAGAGCGATTGCGATGGTGGCGCGACGACGGCTGCTGGGTGAGCTGTGGGTGCCGCCGCCGTCGAGATCAATGTCGACAAAGGCCGCCCCTGACGTGGGCGTCGACGGCGGAAGGGCCGGGAGCGGCTTCTCGCTGGGTAAGGCCTTGAGCCTCCGGCCGGCGGAACCGGATCGGCTGCGGCGAGGCTGCCGACAAAGGTCCTCTTCTTGTCCCGGAACGCGGAGATAGCCACCTTGGCGAGGTGCCATATTTGCTGCTATAGGGCCCGGGTAGAGCCGACTTTGAGCAATGTTCGATGAGAGTGGCGGGAGGGATCCGACGTGTTTGAAAGGAGGGGCAGTCCCTCCTCCGGAGACGAAGGTCCGCTGAAGGCTTTTGTGCAGCTGATGCCCGACACTGCTTGGTTTGAAAGCCGCAGCTAGCTATGTCCAGTCACAACTTGCCCGGAGGTAGCACCGAGACACCAACCGGGCACAGAGCCCGTACGCGGATGGGGAAAGGAGGGTGTGTAATACGCAAAGTATAGTACGTCAAGGCGGTGATGGGTTTCACATCCGGGGGTGCAATTCCATGGATGCAGCGCTGGTTTCTCGAAGTGGATGGTATGATATGCAGCTTTCGAAGCGGCGCTATCAGGCGGGCAAACCAAGGTTAGCCTACAGCTGGACGATGCAGAGTGAAACCTGCAGTAGAAGGCGGTTGGATGGACCGATTACGACCTGCGGCAGTATGGCGGGTGCAGATGCAGGAAAGAAGGGACCTTCTTCGACACATGCGGCGGTAGCGATCCCAGGCCTCGGGAGCGACGTCCGTGATTCCCCAATTGGCCACCTGGATGTGGTCAGTGCGATGGATTATAGGCAACTGCAGAATTGGAACAGCGGGACAGACGGGCAAAGTGAAGAAGCAAACAAAGGGCGGTCAGGTGAGTCGTGTGCGCAGGATGGTACGGCAGCAAGACCATGGCCTTGCTGAAAGCTCACGGTTGATAACGTCGCGATGGGGAGGTGTCGTCTGAGGCGGCCACGAGGAGCTCAAGGTGAGGTAGGGAGGGAGACTCGCGATTAGGGGGCACCTGTCGTTGGGAGCGACGCCTCCTCATTCGACCATGCGTGGCCCCATCGGCAGCTTACCTTAGCGGCTTAGCTCAACCGGGAAGGCGGATCCGGTCCCGACGACAAATGCCCAGCAGCCAATGAAATGACCTGTTCTGGCTCCGGCAGATGGCTCTGGCTCTTTGATCTCCCGCAACCTCGAAGGGTTCCCTTGCACGTGATGAGATGAGGTGACATCGTAAGGTGCCTTACCACAGCTCACCTCAATGCGTTGACCTCACCTGGGTACCTACAGAGAAGCCATCGACTCCGTGGGAGCATCCCCAGAGAGCCCTGTGGCCACCGCTGTCAGCACGTTCCTAGGCCACTTTCAGCCGTTGACAAACCGACGTCAATATGTAGGTAGTCTCCATTCACGCAACAACCACGCAACAACCACGACACCCGTCGCTCATGCTTGCTTTTTCCTTCTTCATGGCTGTCGTCCGCCTCCACCCCCCCGCGTCGCGTCCAACCAACTCAACCAACTTTCGCCCAGTGCATTTTCTCCGTCTTCAGCTCCTGCTCAGTAATCGGCCACTGCATCTCTTTAGCTATTCAGATCCTGCCAACCGAGTCGCGAAGCCGAAGCGAGCATCGTGGGGAAGCTCTACCTACCTATCCCATACCCTGTCCTGAATCCAGAGTCCCATCTTAGCATCATTAACCATGCGGCCCGTTTGGCTTGATGTTTATGGCCGGACTTGAAGCGACCTGCAGCTCTTTTGACGACGCTCTTCCCAAATCGGCCTCAGTCAAAGGTTGATTAGTGACTCTTCTACCCAAGGCCAGCCAGTCGCTTTTCGGCCTAGGGTCTTGTGACAAACCCCTGTACGCACATACCGTTATGGTCGTTTTTTTCCTTCTTCTGTTCCTTCGTTCTCGTCTTGGTTGCGAGAATAAGAAATGTTTCTGGAGCCCATGCGCTCCACAGTGCGTGTCTTCAATGTCTCCGCCGCTTCTCTCAAGGTAGTATGTATACCTAGGACAATCCTAGCGTAGCGACCCTCCTCTCGCAAAATGGGCCCCGTTTCTATCCCTTCGATCGATCGCCCACGCTAGGAGCCGGTGACAACCTCCCCGTCGCGTACAGGTCATGCCTTGATGGGAAAAGAAAAGAAAATGTCGAGTCCCGGGATTACAGAGAGCAAGAAATGCAAACGCGAGAAGCGGGGGCTTGGCTGCACCGATCCATCTCGAGACCTGCGCAGAGGACTAGCCGGTCACGCCAAACTCGGGCCACCGTGAGATTTCTCTATTTCCATACTCAAGGCAGCTTTGCTGTAAGTGCAACGCTTTGCACACCAACAGGTAAAAAGAAAATATCCTCGGCATGAAGTCACGGATTCAGTACTCTTCACCCTCGCTCTCTCTCGCCGTGTCTGCATGGAACAGGTATCCTGCCCGGTGGTGACAAGCACCATGTGTGCCTGTCTGTCCATGGTCATCAGCATCATCATAAACCCCAGGTACTCCAAGACCGTACTGAAGACAACGATAAAGAACAAGAAAACATCCCGGCGTAGGGGTCTTCGAGATGGAGCCGATGCAGTCCCGGAAAGACTCCAGAAGTTCCAATGGCGAACTCCTCTTTTCACTGCCCACTTCTTTTGCGTACTTCTTCTTCTTCTTCTTTTTCTTTGTAATTGATTTGTGTTCGTTTCTCCTCCCTGGTAGAAACGCAAGCGCAAACGCGCCACAAATTCGCTCCCGTCGATATCCTGGGCGCCAGGGAGATAGATTATAGCCAACGATCCGATTGTAGCCAGCGATCCGGCAATCCCATGCAGGCGAGGAAAATATGCATGCCCATCGGCGCTGATACCAGCGTATTGCAGGTGTCAAAAGCTGCTTGTCGTTCCGCCATGAGCTGCAGCCACGCGCTCGCTTGCTTGCCGATCACTGATCGAAATACCATGGAAAGTGCCGGAGGGGTAAAAAAGCCGTATAGTCAGTAGAAGCGCTTTATGGATCTTTGCATGTCTCGACGTAGGCCTCGGCCCTAGGAGACGGCTGCCGCCTCCCACTAATTAGAGGTTAGGATTTTGAACCGTTCTTCCGGCCATGGCCAACCCCGAACTCCATACCCTACTAAGATATCGGTCAGCTGCTCTGCTGGTCAAGACGCCACACTTGCTTTGCACAGGTCGATGGCCTCACCGTTGAGGATCCCTGACATTGATGTCTGTTCGCATCATTGTTGCTTTTCCGGCATGCAGCTGTGTTTTCCGCCAGAGGGCTCGTTTGGAGCTGGAAATACGGGACCGTCATATGCACGTCTTTCTACATTAGTGGCGGTAAAGAAGCAAGGTTGGATCCGCAGAGAGATCAAGCGGCCGTTCTTCCATGCATAACGGGGGTGGTTTACTAATTCCACAATCGTCAGTGTCCAGGAGCAAGGTTTGCCAACTTGACAGATATCTAATGCGGCAATCTCACGATGAAGCACTGACCAGAGTTTACGCAGGGGTATCATGCAGATACCTTACTAGGTACTTTCCCATGTTCCCTCTCACCCAGTGGACAAAAAGAAAAAGGGCACACTCTAGCGCCTACCCCCTTTTTTTCCGTGGAAATAATGCCTGACCGGCTGGTAAAAGTAAACGAAAACGAGGAGGAAATGACTTATTGGTAATACAATCACTTTGGTTTTCGAAGAGGGTCAATGATATGTGCGAATTGATCTTTTTGATGCCAAGGTTGATTGCCGACGTGGTGGCTAATTTTGGTGGTTGAGTCTAAAATATGGCTTTTTTTTTGAAGTCCACTGCGTGCCTCTCTATAGACCACCGTCGTTCGCGATGATCCCCGCCAGGTCCGCCAGGGAGGAACCCAGGGCTGTTACGGTAGAGGAGCTGAAAATATGAAATGAGGTTGCTCTTTGGCTGCGTTGACAGGCGCACACCGATGTCTTGGAGGATGCTCCGCCATTGGTTCATCTGTTTGACCGGTAGTGCATGGGTGGAGGTTTCCAGCACGACGGTCTTGTGACCAATGGCTGCCGTTTTCCACCGCAACTAATCGACAACCGGGATCTCAGTGCACTTTGTCTTAGAAGCAGGCTTGCCAAAGTCATTTCGAGCCTCACGTACCGGACAGTGTTGACGGTCAAGGATTATTAGGTTCTAAGGTACTATAACAACGCCGGATTGAACATCCCAACCATTGTACACATGCTTTTCCCAGCCGGGTTCTACTGTGTGAACTCCAATGGACTCCATGCTTTTCTGACCGTAAACAACGAGGAAAGGACAATAAACTTTTGTGGTGCAATGGGGGATAAGTGAAATGCTGTGGAAGGAAAGACGAAGAGAAGATGCGATGGTTGGCTCCGCGCAAGAAGAAGCCCAGCCCGGTATCCCAGGTTCGAAACATGCGAGTCCAAATAATGCAGCCATGACGCCTCTTTCTCATTTTTAGTGAATTTCCATCAGGTGCCCCGGCGAAAGTCAAAGACCAGAGTGTGCAGAATCAGTTGGGATACTTTCTGAGGGGGAAGAACGCGTCAGGCATCGGTTCCAGGTGCCAGACTCGGTCGGCAGGCTTGTCGAAAGCATCATACCACTCGCGCTTGAGGGCATCAGGTATAGACCAGCCGAGCTGCTCATTGCGCACACGCATGCGCACAAGATGACGCTTCTCGCTAGGACCTTGGCCGTTGACGAAGGCCTCACGTCGGTGGAGGATGGCCAAGTTGTTGATGAAGTGAATGTCGCCTGCGCGAGTCTGGATTTCCATCTGAGTGGCCTTGGCAATGGCCTCGACAGCGTCGAGAGCCTCAATCTGACGAACTGTCAGAGAGGGAAAGTGTGCGGGTCTTGGGTGAGCCGAGTTGCCCATCAGGGGGGTACGGCCGAAGTTGATGATGATCTTTCCATCATGGTGGAAGAGGACCGGACGGCATTGGAACTTGGGCCTATGGGTTGGTCAGTTGACAACTCGGAAGCGGCGGAAAATTGGTAAGCAGCTAAGAGAGCAGACTCACAAGGCAAAGGGCCAGTCGGAGCGGGACAAAGTGCGAATGATGTCGGGTCGAGTGGCTGCAAGGACATTGTAGACGGTGTGGGCAGAGGCAATGATGCACTTGCCACCGGCGGCAGCAGCGTTCCGGGTCAACCAGCTGATCACATCACCCGACTCCTCGTTGTGGAAGG